TCGGTGGTATTTCTTCGCTGGCCCAGACGCCTGTTTTGCAGCAGCCCTTTGTCGTGGGCCCCGGCTTTTCACCGGTGCCTGCAAAACTTGTGAGCCAGATCGTTGCTGGCAAGTTTGTCGAGTTGCACGAACTGCTTTCTTCGAACTTGGTGCTAAACGAGCCAGAAACTCAATTGCTTTTCGACGAGTGGCTGGTGCTTACGTCGACTCCAAAAAAGCCCAAGCGACGCGTTGACGACATCACCAGTTGGTTGGAAGCCTTTTCGATTTATTGTCTGATTTTATCCTCCCATTTTCCGCATTGCTGGAAGGATTTGATGCAGTATCAGCTGCTCATTCTCCGGACTCACCGTCAGTTCGCTGGCCGAGTTTGGTTGGCGTATGATCGGGCTTTTCGGGAACACGCTGCCGCCTCGAACCTCACAGATTGGTCATCCATCAATGTGCAGTTGTTTAATTTTCATGCAGCTGGGGCTTCGGTACGCTCTTGCGGGGAACTTTCGGAGGAGTTTTCTGAACCTCGCGGCGCACCGTCTTCGCTTATTATTTGCAAGTCTTGGAATCGAGGCCATTGTGTTGCTCCTTCGTCGTCGTGCCGCTTTGCTCACAAATGCTCTAGTTGCTTTGGCCCGCATCGTGTTGGAGCCTGCCCTGGTGAGGCATCAAGCCAGTCTCGTCCTTCTTCCAAACGGCCGGTTGATGCTTCCCCTCTCCATTCTAGCAGCAAGTCTAGGCGCTAGTGAACTCGATCAGATTCGTCGGCTGTCAGGTGTTCATTTGTATCATTGTTAAGTTGCCTTAGGTCAGACGATTTAAATTTTCAAGTGCAGACCTTACTGGACCTATAAGAGTTTGTTTTTGTTCCCAAGTTACTTGGTACTGTTGTGTAATTAGTCTGCCTCCTAGTAGTGGCCTTCCACATGTACTTCTTAGGGCGTGATTAAAGCTAGTTGTTTTATGTTGACTGTCCCAGCTGTTTTGTTGCACACCTTCTTCTGGGGTTTGTGGGGGTTCTTTGCCATGGGGCTAGTTATTTACCTTTGTATGCTTTGCGTTTCTTTTCCAGCTCCTCTTCCCCCAGTTTCAGCAGTTACTCCCTTAGTGGTGGAGCAGTTTGCATGGGAGTCGCGCTTCCACCCCCAGCGGCCACAGGTTGACTTTGTCCTGGATGGCATTCGTCATGGATTTAAATTAGGTTTTTCCCCCTCCCAAAAGCTCAAGTCCGCTAAGAAGAATAGAATAGAATAAGCCATCTGCTACTCAGCATGCCTCTGTCATGATGCTTATTTACAACAACAACAACAACAACAACATAAGCTTTATTTGCATGACTATAATTATGTAGTTACAGTATTGCAAAAGCTTTAACATAAAAAAATACAAAAAACAAAAACAAAAAACAAGCAAACAAATCATAACAATGATAATGCAATGCAATGATTACTATAGTCAATCAAGTGTCATCAGCATGATTTGATAACAAATTATTACGTAAATCATTACATAATGAGTCAAATTTCAACAAATGTGAATTTACGGAAAAATTCTGTGAATTCATCAATTTAATTATTAATTCTGTGTAAGACAGCTGATTAAAGTCGACAAAATTTTGTTGGATTTGATTGTAGAATTTCTCCCTTGGGATTGAGTATTTTGGACAATGGAAGAGAAAATGAAATTCGTCTTCAATTATACCAGAGTTACAAATAGGACAGAATCTGTCGTTGCAGGAAGTTTGATTATATCTTCCAGTTTCAATCATGAGTTTGTGGTTACTTATACGAATTTTCACTAAATCTTTCCTATTAGCAGAATTTCTAATTAAGTCTAGATAACTTGAAATTTTATAATCATGTTTAAATAAGCTGTAAAATTGCAGTTTCTTAGAATGATGGATTGTATGTTGCCAATATGCAATATATTTTTGTTTTATTATATCTATATAGTGTTTGATCTTAGCTTCACTTATCACCAAAGCTCTCATGACTCTTGCGTGGTTTCTTCCTCTTTCTTTCCTTTCCTTAACTCTAGGGATGTCGGAAGAAGAATGACCCTGGAAAGGGGCTTGAGGGCTCCGGCATGGGTAGGATAGGCACCCCTATTCAGGGAAGAACCTCCACCTACACCTCCACCTCCGACCGACCCACCTTCACGAGAGGGAGGGCGACGGGAAACGAAACATTTTATGAGGATGGCCTAATAAAGTAGAAGTTAGTTACGATTTGGATCTGTGATACTGCGGGAAATTCTGAATACAAGATGATGTTTTTGTTAATGAAAATTTAAACGGAGATGGCTTGTGTGCTCCAGGAGATTCTGTTAGTTTTGATTGCACAGTCCTTCTTTATTCATTGACAATTGTGCGATGTTTTGCTGGTGACTACCTTAAAAGAAATAACTAAATAATATGTTTTGTATTTCATTTTCACAAACCGTGTACAGTAAAACACGTGACTTGAAAAATGTGACAGGTAACACAACACCAAAAAACCGTGATGAATTGGCTTCTTCGTTTTATGTGTTTATGGGAGGATTATTAACTCCCTATCTATAGTTCTAGTAAACAAATAAGTTAGTCTTTTTTTATGAAATGTATAAACAAGACGGAGGGTTTTACTCTTCTCCTGTGGAACTTGGAACATGTAACACGACATAAGATCAGTCAGTAAACATTCCTGATATTTACATAATTAAAACTTTGCGATGCGGGAAATCTAATTCTCAAGTTAGCATTATACTTATTGTAATATATGTTTTATTTCGTTGAATCTTGTTTCGGTTTTTTGGACTTAACATTGAGTACGATAGCCAAGGGACGGACCATTTAAAATGGAACTGTCGATGGCCGGCCCGTCTCTGTCATTTTATTTCTTATCTATTTTAATTTTAAGGGTCACTTGTAAAAATAAACTTACAATGGTTCATTTCTATCATACCTCAAAATATCAGTCTACTTTTACTGACATTGTTTGCTTGCTCCATGGTGCATTTTGAAAGATTCTTTAGAAGCTTTTTTACCTCCGGAACCATACACACGAGTTCCGATGCATCCGAGGCGATTTCATGACCCTAGCCCTCCAGCCCTTTTTATAGCTTTTTTATTATTATTGGACGGATAATTTCGTTTTATTAGTCTCTCAGATAGAAATACCTGTTAAGGTAACAGAATTCCATCAATTTTTTGCGCTTTGAGGGGTAAGTTATAACTTCCGTATAATTTTCTCCTCGATTTGCATATGTTTTCCTTTGTTTACATTCCCGTTCTTGTCGCGGACAGGCGACTTGGGAGGCACAAGTTGAAATTTTATTACTCGCACGCGTTTAAATTCGCAGACCTAAAACTTCAGGTGTAATTAAAAAAATAACAGGTCTTTCGTTTGGTATAGTAGTTTTTTCAATTTGTGACATACCAGGATCGACTTTTGACGGTTGAAGTTGGGCGTTATTTTGACTGCCAAAACAACACACAATCAGAGCGCACACAATAAAAGCCAGAAACTATATTAAAATAGTTATTTTGCAAAACCTTCTT